ATGCTCCAATATGTCTGTTAGTCTATAAGGTGCCACAGGACTCTTTGTTGCTTTTTACAGATCCAGGCTAATGGGGCTACCCCTCTGATACTTGTCACAAACATGGCTGCCGGGGCGGGGCCTGCCCCTCACAAACATGGCTGCTGGCAGGGGCGGGGCCTGCGCAGGGCTGCCGGAAGCTGCCAGACTCAGGCGGCTGCAGGATGCGCGGGGCGCTGGGGTCCCTGCCCGAGCTGCTGCTCCGGGGCTGGGGGGAGCCGCTGCCGCTGCTGCTGGTCGCCAGCGCCGCCTTCCTGTGCTACTACTGGGTGCGCGTCCCGCAGGTCCGTCCGGTCAGCGCTGGGGGGTCGGTCCGTCCGTCCGGTCAGCGCTGGGGGGGCGGGGGTCAGTCCGTCCGGTCAGCGCTGGGGGGGGGTCGGTCCGTCCGGTCAGCGCTGGGGGGGGGGGGGGCGGCCGGCCGGTCCGGGGGGGGGGGGGGGGGGGTCGGTCCCATGCTGTAGGGTCGCTGGGCTCTGTCTGGCCTGGGCTGGAGCCGCCTGCGAGACAGCTCTGAGCTCCGCCCGAGCTGTGAGCAATGGGGGGGGGTCCCAGCCCTAAGAGCCCCCCCTCACTGTGACACCCCCCTCCTGGTTTCCCCCGGCTCTCAGCCCAGCTAACCCCTCCCTCCTTGGGAGCCCCCCGGGCCAGGCTCCGCAGGCAGGCAGGGGGGCTGGGACTGTCTGTGCAGTGGGGGTGCTCGAAGCCGCTGAACCTGGAGCTGATGGAGACCACCCCAAGCTGGGGGTGCGGCAGCCCCCCAGTTCCAGCACCGCTGTCCTCAGGGCCCTCTGGTGGGGCCTGACCCCTCCTGGCCTGGAGCTCAGAACTGACAACCAGCTGTGGGGGGCTGGGGCCCCTCTGGGCAGCCCCTGGCCGGGGACCGTCCCCTAGAGCGGAGCTGCCTGCGGCTGGTTCTCTCCCACTGGGGCTCCTGCTCCCTCCAGGCCCTTGGGGGATTGGTCTGGGGGCTGGGACCCCTGGCCAGTGACATCCCCCGGGGCGCTCGCTGCCCTCGCCAGTGGGGTGAAGCCTGTCCCGCCCAGGCTGTGCCCGTCCCCCCCGGACACCCCAGCCAGGGTCCAGGCTGCGTGTCCCTGGCATGGCTGCGCTGACCTCATTTCAGGTCAGTCTTGGAGGAGCCGGGCGTGGAATGAAGCGTCCTTGCCCCATAGCCCAGCTGGGGAGTGACTCACTTCCCCTGGGGGGAGCCGCTGTGGCTGGGGGGCAGGGGCTGAGGAAGGGAAGGTCCCCTCCAGGCTGGGAGCAGAGCCCAGTTCTGCAGGCCGCAGCTCCGGGCTGTGCTGGCGTCTGTCTCGGTGTTTTCGGATGCTGAATGCCCGCTGGCCGAGCTGTGATGAGAACGACCCGCACCAGGCTCCTGTCGGGGTGTGCGTCATCACCCCAGATACTGGGCCGTGCCCTGGGGCACAGCCGCTCGCTGCATCTCTCTGTTCCTGGTTCCTCTCCGCCCTCCTCACGTGGCCCCATCTCACCTCTGGCCTAGACCGGCACCTCCCGTCCCGCCTCAGCTGGGTGGGGCAGGGCCGGGCGCTGTCTGGCTCCTTCGCTCCCAGCACCGGGGAGCTGGATGGGACCCACTGGCTAGCAGGGCATGTGAGCTGGGGGAGGGGTCTACGCTGTGGGGCCGGGCTCTGTCCCTGCTGGCTCAGCCCCATGTCGTGGGATCTCGGGGGCCCTGTCCATGGCTTGTGCCAGGGCCTGCAAGCGTGACGGGCTCTGACAAGCCAGGCCATGCTGGAGCTGGTGGGGACGTAGGGCCTGGGAGCCGGGCCCGTCCTTTGGCTTGGGCTGGCCCCAGCTCTCCCCGAATCTCTCCCCAGAGGCCCCTGCTGGTGGGCGGGCTGCCGTTCTGCGCCTTCCTGGAGACGCACTGCCCCGTCGTCAGCGAGCCCTTCTACCCCACGCCCTGGTGCTTCGAGGGCCGGCTCCAGACCCTGCTCCGCTTCTTCCTCCAGTCCCGGCCCCAGGTCTCCTACCGCAGGTGCGTGCTGGGCTGGGCGAGTGGCTGGGGCGGCTGCTCCGTGACTCCCAGGCTGTGCCCATGGGGCGCTGCCCAGGCCCCTGCTGCCCGGGGCTCACTCCACCCTGTGCTCCCTGCCCAGCGAGTTGCTCCGCACAGCCGACGGAGGGCAGCTGCTGCTGGACTGGGCGGACAATGCCGAGAGCCAGCGGTACCCGGAGCCTGGCACACGCCCCACCGTCCTGCTGCTGCCAGGCCTCACCAGCAACAGCCAGGCCACCTACATCCTGCACCTGGCGCAGCAGGCGTCCCGCGCGGGGTACAGGTGAGACGCTGCGGGGCAGCCGGGCCCCTGGGGCCTGAGTGGGGGGCTGCAGGGACCCAGCCTCATGGGCAGCCCAAGGGAGGGTCGGGCAGCGATGGGCATCTGGCTCAGTGCCAGTCTCTGAGGGGCATTGGGGAAGGGGGGCTGGTTGGGGGAAGGGGGGATGGAGGGGTTGGGGGGGAAGGGGGGCGGGTTGGGGGGGAAGGGGGGCGGGTTGGGGGATGGAGGGGTTGTGGGGGAAGGGGAGATGAGGGTGGGGAAGGGGGGCTGGTTGGGGGATGGATGGGTCGTGGGGGAAGGGGGGCTGGTGGGGGAACATGGGGGGTGGGGATGGAGGGGTTGTGGGGGTAGGGGGAAGGGAGCCTCACCCGTCTCCTCTCTCCCCAGGACTGTCGTTTTCAATAACCGAGGGTGCAAGGGGGAGGAGCTGCTGGTGAGTGAGCTGTGTTCCCGGGGGGGCCTTGGGGCCCGGCTGCAACCCAGAGATCCTGGCCCAGGCGGTGGGGTGGGGGGCAGCACGCTCCGTGGGCCCTGGAGGGGAGCGCAGGGCTCGGCCCGTGGGTCCCGGCAGGTCGGAGGTGCTGTCCCATCTATACAGGCAAAACAAGGGGTCTAAACTAGCTGTGAGCCCTCGAGACAGACCTCGGCCTCCCTGGGGATGGCTCTCTGAGAACAGCCGCTCAACGGGCAGCGGCAGCCGGACCAGCTACCAGAGCGCGGGAAGCCCTCAGGAAAGGGATGGATCAGACAGCAGAAAATATCATATTGCCCCTGTCTAAATCCACGGGATGCCCACACCTGGAATACTGCATGCAGCTGTGTCACCCCAGCTCAGAAAAGATCCTTTACGTTTGGAAAAGATGCAGAGAAGGATTAGGGGATAGAACAGCTTCTGTAGGAGGAGAGATTAATAAAACTGGGACTTTTCAGCTTGGCAAAGAGACGACTAAGGGGGGATATGATAGAGGTCTATAAAATCATAACTGGTGTGGAGACAGTAAAGAAGGAAGTGTTATTTACTCCTTCCCATAACACAAGAACTAGGGGCCACCCAATGAAATGAATAGGCAGCAGGTTGAAAACAAACAACAAGGAAGTATTTCTTCACCCAACACACAATCAACCTGTGGAACTCCTTGCCAGAGGATGTTGTGAAGGCCAAGACCATAACACGGTTCAAAAAAGAACTAGATAAGTTCCTGGAGGACAGGTCCATCAGTGGCTATTAGCCAGGCTGGGCAGGGGTGGTGTCCCTAGCCTCTGTTTGCCAGGAGCTGGGAATGGGCGACAGGGGATGGATCACTGGACGATTCCCTCTGGGACACCTGGCACTGGCCACTGCCAGAGCTGGGGTCCTGGGCTAGCTGGCCCAGTCTGGCTGCACTTCGCTCCATCCCATCCTGCAAACGGCTCTCAGGGCTGAACCCTCCCCATGCACCTGGGGGGCCAGGACCCCCCTCCCTTGCATGCAAGAGTGGGGGATCCAGCATGAACACCCGTCAGCTCCATGGCCCCCCATTAACTGCAGTCAGCCAGGGACACCCCCCCTTGCCAGCCCCAGCACTGCCTCCCCGGGGACACCCCCCTCCCCCAGCCAGCCCCGGCCATGCTGCCCCCCTGCCCCCCTCAACTCTGCTCTCGCTCTTAGACCCCCAGAGCCTTCTGCGCAAGCAACACAGAGGACCTGCAGACCGTGGTCACCCACATCAAGGCCCAGCACCCGCGGGCGCCGCTCCTGGCCGTGGGTGTCTCGCTAGGCGGGTGAGGAGCAGGGGCCGGCACAGGGAGGTGAGGGGTTAATGTCTGTCCCCCCCAGCTGGGGAGTAGCAAGGGGAGGGGGGCTGAAGGGTTAATCCGGGGGGGGGGGCGCGCAGACCCCCGGCCCACCTGCGGTGCTGTCTCCCCAGGATCCTGGTGCTGAAGTACCTGGCACAGCGGGGTCGCGACACAGGGCTGGTGGCCGCCATGACCTTGTCCATCCCCTGGGACACCGAGGAATCCAACCGCTCGCTGGAGCAGCCACTCAACTTCCTGCTGTTCAACCGGCGCCTGACGGCCAACCTGCGCCACCTCGTCAGCCGGTGGGGCTGGTTCATGGGGGGGGTCAAGGGGACAGTGGGGCTGGTTCATGGGGGTCAGGGGGGCTGTAGGGCTGGTACAGAGGTTGGGGGGACTCTGGGGCTGATACCTGATCCTCCAACCCCCATGTATGTGGTGAGGTGTGGGGCTGGTGCATGGAGGTTGGGGGGAATCTGGGCCTGATACATGGGGGTCAGGGCTGTGGGGGGCAGGGTTAGGGGGATCAGGTATGTGGGGGTTGGGGAGTGTGGGGCTGGTTGATGGGGGTCGGGGGGCTCTTGGCTGTCTTGCTTGGCAGTTCCCCGCTGACTGTGGGGCCCGTTGCAGGCACAGGAAGGTGATTGCAGAGAAGGTGGATGTGGAGCCCATACTGCAGGTAGGGCCCCCCGCCCCCCCTCCCCCAGCTGCCCCCCCCCAGTGCCCCCGGCCCTGACCCCCGCTCTCTGCCCCAGGCACGCAGCATCCGGGAGTTTGACGAGCGCTACACGGCCGTGGTGTTCGGCTACGGGACATGCGCCGAGTACTACCAGGACGCCAGCCCCTCGCACTGGGTACACACCGTGCGCCTGCCCGTGCTCTGCCTCAACGCGGCCGACGACCCCTTCTCACCGCTGCAGGGTGAGTGCCGGGGGCTCTGGGCCCAGCGGGGGGGCTCTGGGCTCAGCTTGCGGCTGCCTGACTCGCTCTCTTTCAGCCATCCCCCTGGCCGCGGCACGGCGCCTCCCCACGCTGGCGGTGCTGGTGACGGCACGCGGCGGGCACATCGGCTTCCTGGAGGGGCTCTTTCCCCGGCACGAGAGCTACATGGACCGCGTCTTCGCCCAGTTCCTCGCCGCCGCCTTCGAGCACTGCCAGGAGCTGAACCGCAGCCTGGGAACCGAGCGCCCAGCCCCCCAATAAACCTCCTGTCCAGATACCTCCTGTCCTCCATGAACTGCAGGGAGCCGGGCCAGGGCCCTGCTGCAGTGACACCAACTGCGGGGCTTGGGCCAGCCTGGGCTATGGGGCAGGGCCGAGACCTGGGCTCTAGAGGGGAAAGACCCCGCTAGACCCCTGCCTGGGGAGGATTGGGGGAGCTGTATGGAAACCAGCTTCCAGAGCCTAACACTGCCCAGGCTCTACCCTGGGGGGGGGGGGGGGGGCCCCCCCCCAGGGGGACCCCCCCACAACCCCTGGGGGAGGGGCAGAACAATGGCCGTACAGCCAGGGTGGCAGCTGAAGGGGGAGGGCTCCCCCCAGCCAGGCCTGCCCGAGACGCCCGGCCCAGGGCCAATGGAGCCAATGGGCTGGGCCCTCGCACAGCGACTGGCCTGTGCCTAGACTGGGGGGGGGCGGGGGGGGGACACCGTAGCGGAAACAGGATTTTCTATTAGTTGCCCCCACAGTTCTTCCCATGGGCTCTGCAGCCCCCCCCCCCGGCACGCACAGGCAGGGGAGCGACAGGTCAGACTCCAGTTTTAATGGCAGCCAGCGACCTGCAGCAGGAGCACGAGTTGAGGCTGCTGGCACATCGCTGGATGGGCGTCGTGGGGCCGACTGGCACAGGCTGGGCTCTCAGCCCCGTGCCACGGCCCAGCCAGAACATCTCACCATCCCGAGAGCTCCGGCAGCGCCCGTCCCATGCAGGAATCCGCCTGGAGCAAACGTCCCCACCACGGGCGGGCAGGGCAGGGGCACCCGGCGTGGGGCCAGGGGGTCTGCCGGTCTCTGAGCTGCTTCACATTGTCCTGGGGGGAGAGCCGGGCCGGACCAGGCAGGCGAGGGTCCTGACGTGCCCCAGGCAGGGGCAGAGTCTCTCGCTGTCCCAGGGGCTGGGCCGGAGCCCTGCCCCCCGCGCCGCGGGGCTCCTCACGCCTACAGGAAGCCGGGGAAGGCCAGTTGCAGCAGCAGGATGGTGGCCACCACCAGGCCAGCGCAGAGCAGCAGCAGCAGCCACACGGGGAAGCTGCCTGTGGGAGAGAAGGACCCGGCTCAGGGGGAACCAGAGGGGGCAATGAGAGGGGGAGGGGAGGGGGCGTGACGTCAGGGGGGCCCCGCTAGGATCTAGCCGGAGCAGGGAAGAAGCCGGGGCCAGGGTGGGGGGCAGGACCCCCAAGGGGTCTGTCCCACGGGCCCCCCTCCCCCCAGGGGCCCGGGGCACGTACGCCTGGGGGGCAGCAGATGCAGCTTGCAGCGGCTGTCCACGGCCACGCTGAGCAGGGCGGCCTCGTTCTCGGCCAGCAGCTCCCGGCCCCGCCGGCTCTCGGGCAGGAAGGCCACGTCCGTCACCACGATGCCATGCGCCTCCTTCACGTAGTACAGCCTCTGCGGGGAGGGCAGGGTCACGGGCAGCGCCACGGGCCAAGC